AAATTATGTAAAATGGTCAAACTTTTTCTTTTTCTTTTTTTTTTTTTTGGTTGTTCGTTCGGACTAAATTTAACTTTTAACTTTTCAATTACTTTTTTTATTAACTTAACTTTTAATTCAATTAATTTCATTATGGATTAACTTGTATTTTAATTAAATTAAATTTTCAAGGCTGCTTTAACTTAACTTAGTTTAAAAAAAAGTTAACTTACCCAACCCTGATTAAATTTAATAAAACATTTTACTATTTGTCATAGTTTGCATTATATTTGAATTGCATTAAAATTGAAATCACGACGTTTAATTATTACGGAAAGTTATACGTTAAAGAATTCGCGATGGAAGATTAATAGAAAATATATTACTAGTAATTTGATCTATTGTGGTTATTCTCTGTTGTATAGCGTGTCGGAGTTGCAAATGGATTATTTCGTATTTCGTGATAAATATTTAATAAATTACCTCGCAGAATGCGTACCGCTCGCTATTTAACTAAGCTACCTTTGGTTCAGTTAAACACGGCCAAATTTCCCAGAATAGAGTCATGTCCAGCTGTATGTCGGCATAATATTCTATCTAGCAAACATAGCGACGCGTAGGCGAAGAGACTTCGGCTTCAAGCTAATATTCAACATACCCGACGCATAAAGACTGTGTCCACGCCCGAAGGAAGCGCATTTCCGACGATCAGCTGTGTCGGTGGCGTCAGCACTCCATCGTTCTATTCCAGTGATATGAGTAGGAAATTGAAAAGCAATTTGTAATTACTAAAGCTAATTTAGTTTTTATATTCGCAATTAGTTTATTCGAAATTTTACAAGCCAACGCAATAATGGACGGAACTTATTAGGTTTTTTACTTCTATTCTTTCCAAAATATCTTTAACAAAAGGATACTGATAGTTTTTAAATAATTAGAGATTGAAAATAAAATAGATTGAAAATCTTGTTTAATTTTTATTATTTTTAAAAAAATTAAAAATATTATTACATTTCTTATTTTTAACTTTGAATAGATTTTTTATTTTAATTTAAAGCACAAGATTGCAAAGATGTAAGACATTTGTACTTTCAAAAATTCCAAAGAATAATGACTTTCTCGACATTTTTATCGAGAAAGAACTGATTTCGAATTCGTGTCCAAAAGTTCATCGCAAAAATTTGGTCCATTTATCATAAGGTATTCTATTAAAACTTAGATATCATTGACAAAAATGTTTGATAAATTTTTTTAATGCACAATGCGTCACATAGATACACACACAATGTTAATCTTATTTTTAATTATACTATGAAATCCTGAGGAAAGAAAAATCAATCTTTGTACCATCCACAAAATTCAATAAATCAACGGCATAGAAATTTTTTAATAAAACGTGCAGTTTTAATCGAACAATGTGAACAAACAAGGAGAAGAAGTTCGTATGCGCGTTTCACCCTTACAGCTCGCAATGAGGAAAGTTACAAAATATTGCCTCTGTGCACTGTTTGATGCCCATGAAGTAACTTCAGCGTGATTTTCCGATCCTTTGTCGCTTCTCATTTTAAATACATGAATTAGGATGCGATAGATAAATTCATTGACGAGCTTCAAGGAAAAGCGTCTATCGTATTTACAAGTGATGGAAAAACATAAAATGCGCGAATATGATATTTTATGATATTTTGTTCAATGCACACACACAACAATACTCGTATATCAATTCTCTTTTATTCCAAACAACAGTTTGTCACATTGATATATTCAATCATTGACATTTACGACACTGTTCATACAAAAATATGAGTTTGTTTTTGATAGGAACGAAAACATTTTTTAAGTAACAAAAAGTTAAAAATAGTACGATATAGTATCAAGTTACATTTGTTAATGCAAGAGATTAGGTCACTGTAATTAGTTAGAAAAATAGATCAATTTTAGAATTAACTAGATAGCGAATGTATGTGTATCTAAAAATGTGCCTATTGAATTTATTTAAAGCATGTTTTAATTATTAGGACCATCATTTTGAAGAAGATAGTTATGAGAAAAACGCAACTTATTAACTTATAACATAAGACACAGTTCTTTGTAAATTACGTTCGTTCTGTATACCTGAAGAACTTCTACATAAAGTATAATTGTGTCACTCTATGGCTAATGAACTCACGTCAAAGATAACTATGTCACATATATATATATATATATGAATTTATTGAATTATTTCAACAAAACAAAATGATATTCCATAACCCCCAAATAAAAGTAACAAAATGACAGAAAAGATAGAAATATGCGATAACGTTACATCGATTCTTTGTTCACAGTCATGGTACGATTACAAGCTGCAATGGGATCCGAAGGAATATGGTGGAGTAGATATGCTGCATGTGCCATCAGATCACATATGGAGGCCCGACATAGTTTTATATAACAAGTAAGATAATACCGTTGATCGAAAGATAATGATTAGATTTATTTTTCCTTTTTTTAATATGCATTATTTGGTATAGAATATTGTTAATTTGAATAAATTACTGATCAAAACACAAGAAAATGTATCGCGAATGTATAATGTCTGATATAAGAATGCGTAAGTGATTATTTTTATTATTGCCTTAAAAGTTTTTTTTATATAATTACCGCAAAATTATATATACTCTCTGTTATTTAAGAAAATTTAAATTTTTATTATTATACCAATTATTTCCAAGGCGAATTTTTCCACATTTTTTATTAAATTTTTAACATGTTTTGAGACAACAACACTGAAGATTAAAATTTTAAGCACACTGTTTACACGATGGAGCATACTTTTACATTTAAAAAATAAACGAGCTATTTCCTGAATAATAGATCGAACATACTCTTTTGTGTGACAAACTATACAGGATGTTCATTGGAACTATAGTGTTAAGTAGAAATTAATTTTTATGAAACCATGTCTGAAAGTGCACTTAATTAAGTAAAGACTTATATCAATAATTTAATAGTAAACTTTCTTGTGTAACTGCTATAAACAAGTCGCTGTTTTAGACCATTGTTATTTATAACCAATAGCTAGTTTGACCTCTTTATCGTTTTTATTTATTTAGAATTGTAAAAATTTTTAAACTGTAATACTGAATAAATAAAGTCATACAGAGATCGGAAGTTATGAAACTCAGGAGATTTTATTTTTGATTTCTTATAATTCTTTAGTAAAGTATTTTTTATCATGAACATTTATATCAACCTATTTTATTTATTCGATCTCTTAAATTAATTTGGTTTCTCAATCTTTTTAGATATTTTATATATAACAAACCTACAAGAAGGATATTACGTTATTCTTTATATACAAGAAGGTTTTCGAATACTTTGGAAACAATTACCTATACTATTTCATTATCCTGAGGTGAGATATCAAAGAATTTACGTTCAACAGCGCTGATGGTAACTTTGAGGTGACACTGGCGACGAAGGCGACTCTCAACTACACGGGCAGAGTCGATTGGAAGCCGCCGGCTATTTATAAGTCTTCCTGTGAGATCGACGTCGAATATTTTCCATTCGACGAACAAACATGCGTGATGAAATTCGGCTCGTGGACTTATGACGGCTTCCAGGTAAGAACTGCCTGGTATCTCGCCGATGTTTCGGAAATTGTCTTCCATTATCCAAATGGACCAATCGATTTAACTGCATTTAATTGCAGGAAAGCCATTTGTTTCTATTGTAAGTTAAAAAAAGGATTGACATAAATAGAAAGATGTATCATGAAAGTGTACAGTGTCAAGGATATTTACATCGTATTTTATTTCCGGTGATCCTTTTTCTTTGTGAATCAAGAGTCTGATAAATTAGATTTTTTCTATATTCGAAAAACTTTTTCTTATGAGATGAGATATGTGTTCTTCTTATGTTAAATGAACTATTCAATTAATCTTGACGATTCAATAATCAATTTATTAATGCAATAGGAAGATCTCGCAGGGATCTCTTGTTAGGGCAATCATAAATATTCTGAGAGCGACTTTCGTGATACGTTACGAGGGAGTATTACTGTCGCCGACTGTTATTAGGCACCGCGCAGTAAAAGATCATATATATCGCTTGTTATCTTTTTTTATTGAATAAAATGTCGCTTGTTAGAAGCACGCAATCGAGTATAAATGATGGGCAGACGGAACGTTGAAATAAAAGAGATGAGACGGTGAGACGAATTGTCTGACCTAAATTAAGTGTTATTAATATTATTTGAAAAGTGTTCTCGTTTTATGTACTAATATAATCTATCTCTGTCTATGCTAAAGCTTTACACATTGTAATTAATTGTTCCGATTTAATTTCAAAAAGAAAACTACTCAATTTGGCCTACCTAAGCTTTGTGATTTTTGCTAATTTTTGCTGAGTCCAACATTGAAAATTAATGATTAGATTCAAAAGAGAAAATATTTTTTAACATTAATTAATAATATGATACATTTTCAAATATCTACATGAATGAAGATTTTAAGAAAAAGTAACGTTTAAGTCATATTGATGCACATGCATATTACTTAATATGGTTTAATGTATATTTATCCCTTTTTCATAAAAAAATGATGGAGAAATAAAATTATATAATACTACTTTTGTAAGATTATAAATTTATTCACATTGCATATTTATTGACATGTATAAATACATAAAGAACTATTTTACAAACAATTGATTTATCTATTTATCTACTTATCTCTATGATGTTTAACAAGTTTATTAGAATCTATAACCTGAATTAACAAAAGTATCAAAATAACATTAGACAATAACATCACAATCGAGGTGTATAATCAATATGCTGTTGACCATATTAGTTCTACCGAGAGTTCTATCTTACAAAAAGTTTCTTTTTTTTGGTTCTATCTTACAAAGAGTTTTCTTTCTTTAGTTATAAACAAAATATGATGATCAAAATATAAATTAAGCACAGTATATTGTAAAGTGTTAATACAGAGCTACAATAATTATGAACTGCGAAAATTAATACTTTTCATTTAATGACACAAGTAGGTATCGTTTTATCTTTGTTGTTTCACTGAATGTCAAGAAAAATAGAATAATACTTGTATCGACTTATGTCACTAAATGAAAAACATCCAATAACTATTACTTAGTAGTTATAGAAAGTAAACTTACCTATGAAATCAGGAGACACGGTAGTATCTCGGCGCTAAGTCAAGCGCAACGATACTACCGTGGTTCTTTTGTATTAAATCACGACGTTCTGCATTTGACTTTACTGACAACAGAATGCCAAACTGAGCAATTAACTGATGCAAACAAATTATATAAACAACCAATTACTGTAACAAATGCGACATACTAGTGTTGTTTGTTGAATTCATCGTGTAAATACAAACAGCGAGTAGGTCATATTGGGTACGATTATTTGACTTTATTGATGATACGTGTCAACTTTCTTATAATAATAAAAAAAAAGGCGAGCATAAGTAACGATCTTACATAGCACAAAAATCAAACCAGACAACATTCCAGCAATATTGCAGCAATTTCACAACATTCCAGCAATATTGCTGGAAATGTTCTCTACCATATGAGATTGATTAGATGTTAAGCAACATGATATTAACAACGCACTGTAAAATTTAGTAATTTACTGTTAAGGTCGATCTTCGACACGTCGACGAAATCGGAGACAGCCCTATCGTCGACGTTGGAATCGATCTTTCGGAGTTTTATACTTCCGTCGAGTGGGATTTACTAGCAGTCCCTGCTGTAAGGTACGCTTTAATGATTTTTCTCAATTCTCTTTTAGGTCTTTTAATTAAGGCTTTACTGCTTTTTTAGGTACTAGTATAGCAATTCTAACAAATTGACAACATAAATTGACTTTTTTCCGTACTTATACGATTATTTAATAAGCATTAATAATCAAACTTTATTAATATGTATTATCAGCAATAATATTAATAATTTTGATTTTAATTCTGAATCGAAGAAGGTATGTTTTTAATATATCTAATATATTGTAATCGATTGTTAAGCAAAGTATGTGTAATTGCAGACACGAAAAGTTTTACACGTGTTGTAACGAGCCTTATCTCGACATCACTTTTAACATTACTATGAGACGGAAGACTCTATTCTACACCGTTAACCTCATAATACCCTGCATGGGAATATCATTCCTCACGATATTGGTGTTTTACCTGCCAAGCGACAGTGGAGAGAAGGTAATTAATTCATAAATGACTCTTTCCACCTTGATCTTATTTGTATACTATGTTTTATGTGTGTTTCAGACTATGTTGTTTAATACAATTCATTTGACCTATTTCCTTATTGAGAAAATGGTCCGTCTTATTGCTTCAAATTGCTATAATCTCATGGAAATTAGATATTTAGTAATTAGATATCTCATGGAATTAGATATTTTATTTTAGAAATTCAAGCAAATAATTTTGGAAAAACAAAAATTTTATATTTTAAATTTGAACAGAGAATAGAGAAGTAGAGTTTAATTTGGAATTGTTTGACACTATTTTAATATATCTCTAAATATATCATTTTAGAAGCATAATTAAAAATTAATTTCTATATACTCAAAAATTTTATTGGATCAGATCAGAATGAAACATACCTAATTAGTGATAAAAATTCAAAATTTTTTTATTAGAAATTTGATTTTTCCGTTGATGTATAACAGAATTTTCGAAATTTATTTATCTTCTTTATTGATTTATTCAACAGTTCGTTTTTATATTATAATTTATCACTTATGCCCGTTTCCACCAATGTAGATTAACTTTCATCTCGATTCAACTTACTTTTTATCTTTTTCTAATCTTTAGAACTAGAAAAAGATGAAGAATAGGTTGAACCGAGATTAAAGTTAATCTATATTGGGATGGAAACGGGCTTTAGTCTATTATACTTTCTTATTATTTATTTTTATATAGTGATTAGTATTATATTTACAGCTAATAACTTAGGTTCAATTTCGCCAATGTAAGATTTAGATTAACTTTAATCTCAGTTCAATTTACTTTTTGTCTTTTTCTAATGTTAAGAATTAAAAAAATATAAACGATAAGTTAATTAGTCATTATAACCTGAGCTGCGTTTTTTTTACAAATTTATTCTACAAAACAATTCTCGCGAGGAATTTCTGGAGACGTCTTTAGGACGTAAACCGTTCTCTGGACGTCCTCGCAATGTTCTTGGAGAACTTTACTGTAAGAGATGTTTTCTTAAAGAAGTTTAAATTTTTTATTTAAAGATATTTAGTCTTTAAAGACAAAAATTAATTTTTAAAATGAAAATATTTTATTCGATTAGATGAGACTAGAAAGATAAAATTCGCAATTACATTAAATTAGAATGAAACTTGCGTCATATTATAGTAATATACTCTTCTCGATTAAGGGTTGAAAAACCTTTAATTTCTCTTAAGGACGCAGACAATGATTAATCCACAAAATGTGAGAATTTTATTTGATTAAATTGAAATAACCGACGATTGACCTTATCAGAATAGAACAGTATAGTTCACGCGCCATTACAGTTTTATTCATGACCGACCTTATTATCCCGATATCGCGTTTCTCTTTATATACCTTCGGGAACTTTACTCCAACGTCGCAGTCGGAAATTAATTTTGCAGACGCAAAGATTTGGTTCGATTAGATCGAAATATGGAAAATAACACAGCTCGCACGCCATTATAGTTTAATCCGCGATCGACCTTTTCATATCGGCGTTACGTCTTTAAGCGCCTCGTAAGACACTCAACCTCAAGCACCAATATCCACTTACCGGCTTACATAATTCAGATGTATTCTTCCGCTTTGTCACCGCGGAAGATGTACCAAGTTTTTCCTTCGCGGAAGATAGGCAAGCAAGAAAAAAGGGAAAGAAGGTTAAATGTCAGGATGCCGCTCGTTTAGCAATCGGCAATGAGGATACGGGGAAAGAAATAAGGCTGGGGTGAAACGGCTGTAATGCGCCTTGCAACGTGCTCAGCACATAGAATCAATGTGAGAGAACTGAGAGACAAAACCTTCTTCAATCAGTCCCAATGCACTTTTAAAGTGCAAATCGTATACATTTGTAGCTTTATAAATTCACAGTCGAAAGATTGTTTCGTAAATTATGGAAAAAATAGAAATATATAGATAAAATTAAAATTATTTTTTTAAAACGTTTATCTGTTTCTCTTTTTACGTATTATTCTTGAGATAGTAATTTTCAACGAAATTATTAACTTTTATCTTAAGTAAATCTTCTTTTGCTACAAATGAAGCAATATTGAACATTGTAACTGCAAACTGCAATGTGATTATACAATGTGATTATATTTGTTCAGAATAATATTATATATAATATGAGCTGCTTAGAAAGCTAAAAACAAATCAATTTTATGAAATGAGAAATAGAAAAAATTAAAGTTATTATGTGTTCGGATATCAAAATTATTTATAAAAAGTGAAGTAAATTTGTTTGATTTCTGAGAGATTAAGATAGAAATTTAGATTATTTCACTAATTTATATGTATAATCTATTTTTAATATTAGGTAATATAAAAATATAATTCTGCATCATTCTTGTATCATATTCTCATATTTCTGCATCACTCTCAGCATATTCTTATAGCATTTTCTATAAATAATGCATTCTAAAGTCAAAACTTCTTTTTTTTCTTATTCTGCTGTAGGTAAGCTTGTCTATCTCGGTTCTATTGTCACTGACTGTGTTCTTCCTCTTGCTGGCCGAGATCATCCCGCCTACATCGCTCGTGGTACCGCTTCTTGGTAAATTCGTCCTATTCACTATGATCCTCGACACCTTAAGGTAAACAAAAATAATTGCGACTGCAGAAGACATTTGTAAAAAATAAGTGCTTACATCGAATATTAAATCTATTAAATTAAATGGCACATTTGTTTCAATATGAATAGAATGAAATTATCATACATATTAGATTTTCTTAATCTTGATGTTTTAATATTAATGATTCCTGATCTTTTATTATTTCGCCTATCGAAAAAAATGTGTCACTTTAATTTAAAATTAGTACAACACGGGCTATTGAATAATTAACTCGATCACGAATTGTCTTATTACATTTCGGCATCTTTCTTTTGTGTTTTGCAGCATATGTGTAACAGTGGTGGTCCTGAATGTGCACTATCGTACGCCGCAAACCCACGTAATGTCGCCATGGGTCAAACGCGTGTTCCTCCACGTGCTGCCGAAGTTGCTGGTAATGCGCAGGTATAATACGCCACCGCAGAGAACCAATTACGATTTCAGGCAAGATATATTCTTCTGGCATTTGTGGTCCGATCATTGGAACCACGCCAAAGCAGGCATTAGAGCACTCGCTAGTTTCTTGTGCACGTGACATTAGTGTCACGTCATACTTGCAAGCATTTAGCACCACGGTGCATTACTTCTGCATCGCGCTGCATCGTGAATGATGCATCCGCCTATCGTTAGTCGCATCTCTCTCTATTGTGTGTTGTCATACAAATAAAATTTCCTGATTTCCAGCAAGACATCTCTTGACATCGACGGTCGGTCGAGACTGGATCGTTTATTTCAAACAGAAATTACAACAACACTGTACTATAGTTTCAGATATATATTGCCCGAATCTGATTCTGAAAAGAAAGATTCTTTCTTGGTGGCACAAAGCGATGAAATCGAACATCGATAATGTTCTATATTTCCATTCAGGAATTTTATTTTATGATGCGTAACATTTTTTTTCGCGCAACGCCGTTATATCTTGCATACTTGTACAATACAATACTTGTATGCGCAATATTGAACATGATGCTTCGTTGATTCTGCCATCAAATTGGATATTATCGCATAACCAGTCATGCAGAAATTTTATAGAGAATTTAGAGCTGCTCTTCATCGACTTTATTACTTGAATATGTACATCTCGAAATATTCGCAACTCTGGCAATCTAGAAAATTCGGAGCATGTGTAGTCATGCACGATCTCGTTTGATACATACGAGTATCATAAACTCGACTCTACAAAGTAATATGTAAGTTATTTTACATTGCTGTACATGAAGCTTAAAGCTGTTAATAGTGAGTTAAAGATTTTTATTAGTTCGTCAGTTATTCCCCTGGTGAAAAAATTTCGCTGCAACTATTCCACGTTTTGTAACATTTCAACGAAATTGCTGAAAATTTGCTGAAATTTCACTGATAGTAAATTTTTCATCTAATATATTGAAAAATCACTGAAATTGAACTAAAATTTCTCTGAAATTTTGTTAAAATTTTGCTGAAAATGAATTTTTCAATTAACAATCGCTGAAATTAAATTGAAATTTTTCTGAAATGCTGAAATTTCGCCAAAAAGTATTCTAAGACGTGAAATTTCAGCGAAATTTTTCCACTAGGATCGTAGAAAAACGTTGACTTCAGAACTATGGATATAGAGACATAATTCTTGCGATCGTAATAATTAATCTCCAACCAGATATCTATCATGGAGCAAAGTTTTCCACAGAAAACACAATAGAAATCTAGCGAATAATTGAATAATTCCAATCAGAATCCATTCCGACTTTATTCCATGATAGATATCCAGAATGATTAGTTGATCGACGTTGAATCAGTATCGATCGATATTGATCGATTAATCATTTCTAGCTGAGTCAATCTCTGATTAGAATTTATAAAAATGTGTAAGATCGCACGAATCTCAGCGTATTTGCAGACATGCTCTCATAGTTCCGAAATCGAGTCGAGACGAAATGAATTTCCATATCGGATAAACCATATTGGGTTTTTTTCCACTCTAGACCGGAGTATGAGATAGATAAGCATAGCACGGATGAGGATGAACATGATGATCAACGTAGCATGGATGGACGCAATAGTCATCGCATTAGGGTCACATCATGCAGTAATTGTCGTGATTCTCGAGAAATAACACTGTACATTGAGTCCTCGCCCCCGAAGCTGACTAAATCCTCAGCGCGCTATCCTAGTGTCGACTCAATGGATTCTTGGTGCGTATTGTCAGGACTTTGGGACGCTCAAATAATACATATGTATTGTTTGATGTATTATATGGTGCTAAATAACGTATAATTTATTTAATTATGATAATTTCGAGCTTTACTTACGATGAAATATATATGATACACAGGGTTGGCAAGTAACGCATTATTTGTAATGTCGTTACCTTTACAAGTTACTTTTTTCTGTAACGATTGGGTAACGACGTTACATTTTCTTCTGAGTTCATGGTAACGCAGTTACATTTTTGGGGTAATGGTAACGATTTCACTAATTACTTTTATCGTTATACTTTATTTCTATTTACATAAAAGTTTTAATCGTAACTAAAGCGTATATACATTTATTAGCAGGGTTGGATAAATTAACTTTTTTTTTTAAGTAAGTTAAGTTAAAGTTAACAGCCTTGAAAATTTAACTTAATTAAAATACAAGTTAATTCATAATGAAATTAATTGAATTAAAAGTTAAGTTAATAAAAAAAATAATTGAAAAGTTAAAAGTTAAATTTGGTCCGAACGAACGACCAAAAAAAAAAAAGAAAAAGAAAAAGTTTGACCATTTTATATAATTTTTCGTATTTTTCCTTTTTCAGTATATTTATTAAAGAATCGTTATTTTTCACAAGTAACGATTATACAATATAAAATTACTAAATTATATACTCATTATCCTCTCGCATTGTGTCTGAAGATTGACTTAAAAAAAATCAAATTAAAAGTTAATAGTTACCGATAAAATGTAACTAGTTTTTACGGAGTTTCTATATTATGCTTATCTGAACATTGTAAACAAGATTTGATTTATGACAAGAATTCATTTTACATTAGTTGACTTTCTATGTACATTTTAATTTATGACTTTTTGACTCGATAAGGACAATCTATTTGTTATGTTACAATGCTCAACCTTATATATTTTATGCCGTTATTGTCATTTGAACATTGATATTTTGTACGATTCGGTTCTCTTAACGATTTATCTCTAACGATTTATCTTCATGCGTTTCTAAACTTTTTGATATTTGGATCATGGTTTGGCAGAATTAGTGTATCCGTAAAAATTCCTTTTTTTAGACTTAATACGAATTATATATTTTTAGTTGCTTTAAAACTTTTCCAGATATTTTTGCGCAACATATTGTATAATTTTATATATATAATTTTATATAACTTTATACATAATTATACATATATAATTTTATAAGATAATTCGAGGGAAGATGATACAAGGGGGAAGATGCCACTTTATATCCTACCCTAACCCACGAGCGTTGTCAGAATTACGGGACACCTTGTATATAGCGAACACTAATAACTTTTTTTTACTTGTTGGATCCCTTACTGCAGCTACAGAAGTGGAAGCAACTAAATTCTCAATACAATTAACAATTTTTCATATATATTACGTACTCTTACCTCTTAAATTCTTTTGTTAATAACACCATTTCAATTATATTTGTTGCCACAAATATATGATGCGAACACAGCACAGAAATGAGCTATATCGCTAGTATGTTGCACTCGTTGTGCTCGAGCGCACCAACTCTCGTAACGCAGGGACGTTCTCAAGTCAACAGACTTTATAAGACTGAGCTGCGCAATTTTTTCCAATACAAACGGAATATTAAACGTTAAATTTATAAACTTGTGTAAATAAAGGAAGGTCTTTAGAATATAAATAATATTTTTTTGTAACTTGATTCAATAACGTTAAGAAGTTATTCAAGAATAAAGGCTTAAGTATGGCGCTTCCCCCCAATTTCTCTTCCTCTTTAGCCTTTCATGTAGTCCACTCCTGAACATAAGTCTCTCCCAATTCTTTCCATGAGTCCTTATCCTGAGCCTTCTGGAACCATTTTGGCTCGGCTATCTTTCTCACATCATCCAGCCATCTCATCTGGGGTCGTCCCACACTCCGTTTTGTTGTTTTTTGACGCCAAAGAATTGTTTTGATGGACCATTTATTTATATCTTGTCTAGTCACGTGTCCGACCTATCACCATTTCAGCCTGACCACCCACTCGGCTATGTCAGTAACTTTTGTTCATTTTCGGATTTCTTCGTTTCTAATTCTGTCTCGAAGTGTAATGCCGAGCATATATATATAATGCGTTCCATAGATCTCTGAACAACTTTTAATCTATGTGCATTTCTTTTAGTCACTGCCATAGTTTCCAGACCGTATGTTGCCATCGGCAGTACGCACGCGTCGTATACTTTCCTTTTTAAGATTAATTGGTAGGTCGGGATTTTTAAGAATATGGCTGGGTTTATCGAATGCCGTCCATGATAATCTTCAGCCAAACATTTATTGAACATATTTTTCGCTTACAAGATTGTTTCATCTGCCATTTTTAACATTTCACTTGTAATGTGATCCTCCCCTGAGGTCTTCTTATTTTTCATCTCAACGCGACTGAGATCTCGGATGTTGTAATGTCTGATATCTCCTCTGAGCTAGCATTCATGAGTGTCCTCTTGGGAATATTCGGAGCTAGGATCGCAGTTGTATATAACTTCCTGTAAAAGTTTTCTATAATTTTCGCAATATTGTCTCTGTCTGATGTAATTATCCCTTCTTCATTTTTCATTTTAAAAATCTTGGGTTTCCCTATCGCTGTTCTGATTTTCAGTACTCTCATGTTTATATTTTCTTCTATTACCTCTTTTATTATCTTGTTGTTGTAGGTACGATAGTTCTTCCTTGCTTCTTTGCTTATTCTTTCATTTGCTGTTTATATTCGGAATGTGATCTATATCCATATTACGTCTTGTCTCTATTAGTTGCATTGTTTCCGGTCGCAATTTGGAGTTGCTGTTTAACCCGAAACCATACCTTTTTACTTGATACCTGAATATTCGATTTTATCTTTTCTGATAATGCTTCTATGTTCATTTGTTTTAGATTCATTACTTGATTTAATTTCTTTTCCAGTTCACGCTGATATTCTTTCTTCCTCTAGTACAGTTCATTCGAAGTAGGAAATTTCTCGTTAATGAATAGCTTCCTCCTTTCTAATCTGAGATTAAATGACAAGGATACTCTTACCAATCTTTTTACTACCGGTCCTAAATCGGTTCAGTACTTCCACGTTTGTGTATATTCTTCGGTTGTCTGATAAAACATAATCTATTTCATTATTAACCCTTCGGTTTGGGCTTATCTAGATCCATTTCCTTTGTTTCGGTTTTTTCAAAGAATATATTTGAGCAATACATTTTCTCATTTCTCATAAAATTTAGTAACATATCCCCTCTATAATTTCTTTCGCCGAAGCCAAATTTCCCTAGATATTCAGTATCTGGTCGTCCTTTTGACCAACCTTTGCATTTAGGTCTATCATAATTATTGTAAATTTGATCTTTTTTGTTCGTTTGGCCTACGAGACATCTTCTAGAAATTGTTCCATTTCTTCGTCGTCGGCAGTGCTAGGGAGCATATACCTGAATAACTTGTAAGCTATATCTTTCCGTGAGTTTTAAGACGAGATATGCAACTCTATCGGAGATTGAACCGGCTTTCCTCACCAAATGTTTGATTCTTTTGTTTACTAGCAACGCCACTCCTCCATTGCTACATTCTTCTTCGGAGTTATTTTAATATAAAATGTGACCTGAATTGAGATTGATTGTTCTTTCTTCCTAATGTCAGGTTTCACATAATCTCACTATCCCAATTTATGTGGCTTAATTCTCGTTCCAATTCTTGAAGATGCTGATCTGTTTTCATGGTTCTAACGTTGTAGGTTGCTATTCGTAGCTGTTTATGGTTTGAGGTTTTTATTTTAAAATTTTGGGATTTGATCGAACCCTTGCCTCCCCCAGAATCCTCAAGACAGACTGATTTATCATCAGTGTGAGATTCTGAGTCTATGACTTTACTCAACTGGGGTAGTAACGTTATGGAATTCGACATTTTATGGATTTCTTAGGAGATATGTGGCGAATGAAACAACGCCGCGTTTGTCGAGCATGTTGGCATGTGAATAGTAGTCTTCCTGATTGAGACTGTGGATGCTACAGTTGACCATTCCTGGTTTCTCCGCTACCTAGGCATATCCACTATCCTTGGTATTCCTGGCCTATTGGACCCTTCGTAACCTTTTTGTTATTTGGCTCCAATAGGTGCCCCTTTCTCTCGTCTGTTTGCTGACCCACTTTCTCGAAGGGATTTTCATCACAACCTTCCAGTGAGTTGCTCAGCTCAACAGAGTTCACCTCGCGAAGGTGAGAGTGGAGTTGGTTTGGGACTTTTCTTCATCAAAGTCCTATATTGCGCATCACAAACTCTCGAACCCCCTCCCCCCAATTACCTTATATAATTTTATATATAAATATAATTACATAGGTCGTCTAAAAAGTTTTGAGCCTCAACATGAAGATGGCATTACGTCAAAACAATTTTGGTACTATAATCGTATATACTTTGAAAGATACCTGTGAAAATTGTAGCTACTTCCGGCGCTTAATTGTTGTTTGACAGTCATTTGTGCCAGTCAATGTCAATGTTTTTGTAAAAATGGAAAAAATCGAATGTCAGTAGTCGCCATGATAAAAATTCACGAATTGCGGTTCGAATTAATTGACCATCCACCGTATTCATCAGATCTGGCCCCCAGCGACTTTTTTCTGTTTCCTAGGCTCAAAGTTTGGCTCGGAGGACAGAAATTTTCATCGAACGAGGTTATCGCATCCGTAGACGCCTATTTTACAAAGCAAGACGCTCAGTATTATTTGCATGGATTAAAAGGGTGGGAGCATCGCTGGAAAAATGTATCGACTTAAAAGGAGACTATGTGGAAAAATAAAATTGAATTTGACCGAAAAATTACTTGTTTCTATGTTAGGCTCAAAACTTTTCAGACGACCCTCGTATATACAATTATATATAAAATATGTCCATTTATATACAATTAGAAAATGAATCGAAAGAACGCCCGGGAAAAAATGTTTTATATATAACTATATAAAATTACATAAAAATATATAATTGTATATAGTTATATATAAAACATTTTTTCCCGGGCGTTTTTTCAATTCATTTTCTTATGTTTTTAGAATATATATTTATTCATAGTCATCTCGTTTTGCGAATCTCCCCTATCATGCGAGCCCCTATCATCTGCTTAGGGAGTCGGAAGCAAATTCAGAAAACATGTGCCGTGTTCACGGTTCGCGAGGGGCAACGGCTGCGCCATCCGCAGCGCCCGCGCCGCCACAACTTCCAACAAAGGAGAATGTCGATGCTCTCTGTAAGACTCTTCATGATTGGCATCGCTGTCCAGAAATAAAAAAGGCTATAGAAGGCATCCGCTACATCGCCGAACATACAAAGAAAGAAGAGGAATCTAATAGAGTAATTATAATTTTACGTAACTTATGGCGAATTCGGCACACGTGCACTAATTCTGCTCTAGTGCTGCCCTGACATGGTGCGAGTGCAGAACCACTTTGGTGCTATGCCAATTGCACTGTCAAAAACGTCAGTGCAACATTTCTTGAACTCGTTCAGTTCATTCGGTTGGTCCGAATATAAATTCAGCACTACACTGGGCTAGTTTTCATTTGCCGAATATGATAATCTTAACGCACCGATACAGTGCGCACAAGCCGAATGCATGGTACTAAAAAAGTTCGCACTCAGTGCGCACTAGTGCAATCTGCCGAATTCGCTATTAGATAACAACGCAGTATTGTAACATATAGAACATAACAATTTAATTTACACAACACAATTTAACCCTTTGAGTCACAGCGTAACATATATGTTACCTTTTTGGCTTTTCTTTTCTAGACTGTATTTCGAAGATTTTACCGAAATTAATGATTCTTTTTTCATTATTTACTATATTAATACTTAATTTCGACTTCTATGTACGGATTTTTCCATTTTGTTTGTATATTTTTTATGAACATTTTTTAAGTTTACGCTTTTTTTAGGTTAAATTCATTTGTGAAAAACAAGTCCCTATGAACATACTCATTTTTTTAATTATATTTATGTTTTTAAAGTCGTTAATTACGAATATATATTCGGTTTGTTTTACAAATTTTATTTCAATATTCTTACGTTTGTTTTATAAATTGTATTTCAACTTTTTATAAATTGTATTTCAGTTTTTTATAAATTCAATGGTTGGATTTATATTCAGTCACTTCAGAAATTTTTATTTACCCTTATATTTATAGATTTTGCAGGATAGAATACGAATTGTAGTAAAAATCAAGAATTAATTTGCTTTTTAAACCGCCATATTGTACTCGCCATCTTAGGGATTTCAAGTTTTTTTAGGATCTGATAAAAGATTTAATTTCAGCGACATCAAAAACCTATATAATTCTATACATTTTTCAGAGATTAGTCTTTTCCTTTAATTGCGTGACTCAAAGGGTTAAAAGAGATCTTTATAAGATATTTATTTGATAAATAAGATATTTAAAAAATTAGAATGTTTAAAAAATCTCGAAATTAAGAAATTTTCTAGAAATTTTTTTTATGAGGTTTATATTTATTTTTTAGGTTTATGTTAGATATTACCCGCACAGCACCTTTCATTGTAAATATATGTTAAATACATATCTATATTGCATTTACATTGTGTTTCATTTCATATCAAATACAATGTATTAAATACGTAATTAACGCAATGGATATAAAATATCCAAGTCGAAATACGTCCTTAATACGTACAGTACTGGACAAAATAAATCATACACCTTTCAACAAATTGAATTTGTTTGTGTAACTATTTTTTTGACAAGCAAATAGATTATTAGATACAGGAAAATCAAAGCATTTCAAAGCATGTATACAGGGTGTCTGGTAACGACCGCAAAATATTTCGTGCGTGGGTAGAACAGACTACACTGAGTCGAAAAGTCCTGTACCATTTTGCGGTGTCAACAATAGTTCAGGAGATATTAACGTTTAAAGATAACCGAATAAGAGCGTCCGACCGGCCTATTGCTGCCGAATGTACAACCCATCGATCGCGGGGAGTGGGGCAAGCATCCCGCTGACCGCCGCGAGCCACTAAGCTCGAACGGCGCGGTGCGCCTGATAGGCCATCCCCACTCCCAGCGGCCCGCGCGCCGTGCGATCGTGGCCGGTGGGTTGTACATTCGGCAGTAGTGAGCCGACCGGACGCTTTTATTCGGTTATCTTTAAACGTTAATATCTCCTTAACTATTGCTGACCCCGCAAAATGGTATAGGACTTTTCGACTCAGTGTAGTCTGTTCTACCCACGCACGAAATATTTTGCGGTCGTTACCAGACATCCTGTATAAAGAGAACGTAAAATAATAAAAATTGTGATCAATTTTTTGATAAAAAATTTATTTTTCAATTTTGTTACATTTTGTCCTGGACAAAATAAGTCATACACTTTTAGAAGTAATAGTTAACATACAAATAAATATAATTCTAATGGTGCTTAGTACTTAGTATGGCCGCTTTTATCTTTTAATGCTGTTTCCAGTCGACGAGGCATATTCTCGATTAATTTCTTCAAGTATTCAAGATCAATTTCATCTCAGGCCTTCTGGAGTGCTGCCTAATACAATATTTTGTCAGTTACGTTTGTTTTATTCACGTTCCCATCCAAATAAGCTCATAGATTTTCAATTGGATTTAAATCTGGTGATTGTGGCGGCCATTCGAGCAGTTTTACTTTATTAGATTTGAAAAAAGTAGTAGTTTTTTTGCCTTATGCTTTGGATCGTTATCTTGTTGGAAGATAAAATTATTTTCTAAATCTAGTTTCGCGAAAAGCGATTTTTCTAAATTCTCGCATAATATATCAATATATCCTTCAGCCGTCATAATGCCTTTAATTTGAGCTAAATTACCGATATCAGACCAAACAAAACACCCCCATCCCATGATATTATCACCTCCATATTTTACAGCCTTTTGAATATTTATTTCTTTGAGAGCCTCGCCAGTTTTTCATCATACCCTAGACCGCCGTTTTTGTTCGAATAACTTAAATTTACTCTCGTCCAATCACAATACTTTTTTCCAAAAATCTAGAGGCATGTTCACATACTTCTTGGCAAACTCTTCGCTTTTTCTCATTTATTTTATTGATGAAAGGACGCTTTGATGCGAACGTACTTTTCAATCCTGATTCTCAAAATCTGCGACGCACAGTGCGACTGCTAACATTCAGGTTCATCGATTTCACAATATTTCGCGATGATAGCTTCGGATTTTATTTTACCATTTGAACGATTCTGGTGTCATCGCGAGAAGTAGTATGTTGAATTGTAGTTCGTTTTCGACCTTTTCCGGAATAATTTGTCACAATCCCATGTTTTTTGTATTTTTTCCAAATATGCTGCACTGCTCCAACAGAAATCGCGTATTTATTAACAATTATTCTAAAAGAATCACCATTCTGTCGGTCACGAATGACCAAATTTCGAATATCAAGAGGAATTTGCTTCAGTGACATTGTCTTTGCACGTAACAATTATTACTGATCTACTGAATACATAAATTCTAATCGTAGATACAATGTAAACAAACAATAAAATGATGAATAGTAGCAGAACGACGAAATGTAAATATTGACAGATCCCTACACAAAAACTACACGGTACTTATCTAAGTGTATGATTTATTTTGTTCAGGGCAAAATGTAACAAAATTGAAAAATAAATTTTTTATCAAAAAATTGAGCACAATTTTTATTATTTTACGTTCTCTATATACATATTTTGAAATGCTTTGATTTCCCTGTATCTAATAATCTTTGTTCGTCAAAAAAATAGTTACATAAACAAATTCAATTTGTTGAAAGGTGTATGATTTATTTTGTCCAATACTATATGTAACATATAGCAGATATGTTATGCATATTCAAGTCGAAATACGTATATGATACGTATGTAATATATAGCAGGTATATTGTACATATTTAAATGTATGGATATCAAACACATAATTGATATATACATATAACAGAATGCAGAATGTAATAATACGTCATAAGATGGCGTACCATAGTAGCATCACATAATATTTAATAAATTATAAATGGATAGTTTTGAGCAAGTATCTGTGTGCGTGGTTATTATAATCGACTGTATCTAAGAATAACAACAATATTAAAATATCATATTAGACCGCGATGTGAACACACAACAGTCAAGAAATAGAGGTTTATTTCAAGCTTGAATTTTTAGTGCTGATCGAAACAATTCGTGTGAAACAAATTTAGGTTAAATAGTAAAAAATAATTTAAATCAATTGGTAAGTCAAAGGTAAGTTCCCTGGCGGAAAAAAATGTTAACAGAAAAGTACAGAAAAACTACATAGATTGAGATAAGATTTAAAAAATTCTTAATTTTTCCTAGATATTTGTAGTAGGATGTAGAGTAAGGTTTGTTTGTCTTAGCGTAAAATTCGTAGTTTTTCGTAGATATTCGTAGTGGGACATACAATGTGATTAATTTCACTTTTTGAATCTTAAAATTTTAGAGCCAAAGTATCAAGTTGGCATTAAAATATTTTAAAATTCAAAAAATAAAATTACTCACTTTGGCTTGTAAATAGCTTATATAATACCTGTACATATAATATATTTTGAACGTGTATTTGCAATATTAGGAATACGTATCAAATACATAATTTACTACGGAATTTAATACGTAAAGAATATATATTGTCATATGTATTTGATACGTAATGTAAGTTACGTATTTATAGCACGGAAATTCATCGGTTAAATACGTATTTGATGCATGATTTATACATATTGCTACGAATCTGCTACATAGCTATAATATTGCAAATTTATGTACCTGATATGTAAGTAAATTACATACCTATAGACGGACATTTATCGGTATTAAACATGTATCTAGTATATGATTCAAACGTATTGCTATATATCTGTTATATAGCAACATTTCAAATTTCATGTATCTGCTACGTATTTGAAATCTAAAATGCTGTGTGGGTATTTAATAAATATTTTTAATACAATTTGAGTTTCAAATTACATATAATAAAATATTTGAACAGCTGCGTTCTTTATATCATATAAAAAACGTACATAATATTTTTTAAATAAAATATTACGTAATTTTCATCATAAAGTCAAATCATATTTCAGAATAGGAGAAACTTCAATACAATATTTTCTTTACATATCCTCACCTTTACATATCCTTTCTTTACATAAACTCACTGTTTCGCACAGCTTTAAAAAACATACATGAAACAGACGGTTTTGCTAAAATACATAAATTTATTAAATTAAAACAAACAATATATATTTGATAGAGCTCTTGAAAAACAAACAATAATAATAAAATATTAATAAACGGGCAATGAGAGCATTCACAGTGCAGTACTTGGAGCGCAATACATATAATATATTCTCAATACTTTTTACATTATGTGTTACAAAGTTCTTGGATGTTTCGGTTTACTTCAAACCATCTTCAGCAATGTCATATAATTTTCATACACAATATTCCAATCCGCAATGTTGGATATGGTCTCTGCGTTCGACCGAGGATGAGCATACCCCTACTTCTTAATTGAGTAATGGCATGAAATCTCTTCGTTGTTTAATCAAGTGATTGACTGAAGGGTACAATAATGAACAACAATATTAGTTGTATTGATTTAATGTAATTTCTCGCTTTTTACTCACCCTTCGCCTTCGCAGATTCAAAGCACAATAAAGATGTATAATAAAGATACTATCCATATGAAAGTCAGATATGTAATGACCGTCAAAATTATTCAAAGCGCTACGTCAGAACAGAACAATAAATAATTTATAAGTCAAACAAATATAATGTCAATCTTTAAAAACGAACAGTCAAAAGTTAAAGACGAACACATATACCACTATTTAAATTTCTCTAAAATGCTCACATATGAATGGTGCAGAAATTCCATATCTGATTGTAGATTCAAACTATTGGTTTGCAACTGAATATTTAACATTTCAGAGATGAGCCTTTTACTCAATTGTCTTTCTATATCTAAAATTTTAATATTTTCCCATTCAAATTCATGACTGTGCCCGCTGTGCCTCAACCTATGTTATGTGATAACTGATTGGACGGAAGTTTTCCTATTAATGTAATTTTGTGTTTGTTAATTTTCGTTTTTAATAAACGACCCGTTTGCCCAACATAGGTTGCATCACAGTCACGACATTGTATCTTATACACAACATTCTTATTGGACATTATGGAACCTTATGGAACCTAAGGAAAGTCTATCTTTGTGGACTTTGATGATACTCTCCAATTTACTAAGGCTACGATAACAAAGATTAACATTCGTATCCTTAGTTAGGTTCTTAAATTTTTCCGAAATTGAAGGTAGATAGGGGACCGTGAACTAACATTCTTTTGCAATCTCATCCTCCACATCATTATTATCTTGCTTTGTCATTTTATGAACCAATGATTTCAATCTTATATTGATCGTGTTGAAAATAAAATCAAGTGGGTAATCATTCTCTAGAAAGACTCTGACTATTAGTTCAATATTCTTTGCATGATGTCTAGGATGCGACAACAAAACGGCCCTATCTAACATGCCATGTCACTAATTATGCCTTTCTTTTGCGATAATGAGTGAAAAGAACGGAAGCTACCGGTTTGTGGTACCAATCAAATTCTATTATACCGTTGTTGTTGGTTAATGTTACATCTAGGAAGTTCAATTTTTCCCCACTTACTTCTAATGTGAACTGAATTTTTGTATGCAGTGAGTTGAAAATATCAAGAATTTTATTGATTGATTCATACGGGACAGTCATCGCGATATCATCTACGTAAAAAGGTTCAACTCCCAAACTCTCCAATGATTCCTTGTTCTCCAAATCTTCAAGTACTAAATCTACCATGATGGGAGAAAGCGCAGAACCCATGGGGGTACAAAATTTCTGCCTATAGATTTTATTATCGAAAGTAAAAAAGGTCGAATCTAAGATCAATTGCACTGCCATTAAAAATTCTTTTTCAGGAATCTTAGTTATTTTGGCGATGTGTTCCCATTTTTTAGCTAAGCGTTTGATGGCCAGATCAACAGGGATGTTGGTGAACAAAGAGGTGGCATTTAATGAGATCAGAGCAAATTCATCGTCAATAACTTTCCTATTTAATTTTTTTACCAACATGACACTGTTATATATATGGCTCTGTGATTTAGGAACACATTTTCCGATAATCTCTTGTAAAAAAGACGCCAAAAGATATAAAGGACTGTCTATGTATGAAGTAATTATTTTAAACTGCAATCCTATTTTGTGTATTTTTGGAAGTGCATAGATTCTCGACAATGTCCCATCACTGCGATACAGTTTTTTATATGTTGAGCTAGAGATATACTCTTTCTTTTTCTATTTTTTAAGCATAATTTGTGCCTTTTGTACGAGACTCGATGTTGGATCTCTACTCACAGGTATGTATGTTTCAGTGTCTTGTAACATATTGTTGACATTGTCTATATATATATCCCTGTCAAGAGCAACGGTGATGTTTCCTTTATCTCCGTCCGCTCTAGTAAAAATGATATTAGGATTGTTTTTGGCAAAAAGGTTAATCGATTTTATTAAGCACGATAATCTGAAGTTAATTGGATTTTTCGTATGTGAAAAAGAAGCCACATTCTCAATAATTTCTCATTCTCAATAAATGGTATGGAACGATTCCTAGCTATGTTACAACAACTTATATGGTATTGCTGAAGATGGTTTGAAGTAAACCGAAACGTCCAAGAACTTTGTAACACGTAATGTAAAAACTATTGAGAATATATTGCGCTCCAAGTACTGCGCTGTGAATGCTCTCATTGCCCGTTATTAATATTTTATTATTATTGTTTATTAAATTAAGTCAGATATAGATCTAAAAATAATTATGTTGAATACTCTTAAACTGGTTGCCAAAATGTCAAAATGTACAATATTATCATCGTGCTTGAACATCATAATTATTTTTAGATATTTGGCGCTTAATTTTGATATACTTCAGCAAAACGTTTTTCTTTGTGTATGAAATACTTTATATTCTTGATTGTCACCTATGAACTCAACCGTAGGTCAAGGAGGATTGGAAGTTTGTCGCAATGGTGCTCGACAGATTATTCCTTTGGATCTTCGGGTTAGCCGTATTCATCGGCTCGGCCGGAATTATACTACAGGCGCCGACCTTGTACGACGATCGCATCCCCATTGATTCACAGCTCTCCGAAATCGCCCCCACCACTGCCACACGTCACGAGCCTCTGAGGAATTAATGCCGCGCGTAAAACACATATACAAAACACACGTATATACACAACAGCCAATTACTTATAATAGGCTGTTGTGTATATATGTATGTTTCGTAATATTACATCGACACAGGCGACAAGCGAAACGTATTAACGTCCGAAAGACTGAAGCCTCGTTGGGTCTTCGACTTTTGCATGAATGCATGTCGTTCGACTTTACGCCGTCGAACGACATGCATTCATGCAAAAGTTCGATTTGCGCCGCTATCGCGAACGGAAGATTCTTATTATTTTAACCCATTAACTGTCACACTTTTATTTTTTATGTTTAATGATGATATAAAGAATTACTATTAATTAATTAAAAATAAAAATAATTAATAATAAAAATTACTATTAACGATAAAAAAAAATAAAAAGTCGCTGGTCCACAAATGAGGATGACAGCTAATGGGTTAAGCCGATGTGTATTTTTTACTTCTCTGTTTCGCGCATTAGATATTTGTTAATTAAAAGATTTCGGCTATTATATGTGAGAAAATTAAAGTAAGTTAAACAATAAATAAAAAAACTTCTCAAAGGGCCTAGCCGAATAAGCATATAAAAAATGCCCCCAAATTAAATCCAATTTTGAATACGTCACATTATTAAGCTCGATAAAAGATTATTTTACATCAAATTTCAACCTGCTAAACCTATCCATGTAGTAGTAATGGTGAAAAATCCTCCCTCGCACCCTCCTTCCCTCTTTCCACCTTCCCTCTTCCCCTCCCTTCCTTCCTCCCTCCCTCCCTTCCTTCCTCCCTCCCACCCTCTCTCTCTCCCTTCCCCTCTCATTCAATTCAAATTTTTTTAGATGTAATATCATGCTAAAAAGTGTGTCAAATTTTTCCAGATTTTTTAATTCACACGGTAGAAAAACAAAAATAAAAAATTGAAATTACCGTTTTTCATCATTACTACTACATGGATAAGGTTAGCAGGTTGAAATTTGATGTAAAATAACCTTGTATCGAGCTTAATAATGTGACGTACTCAAAATTGGATTTGATTTGGGGGTATTTTTCATATGCTTATTCGGCTAGGACCTTTCAAATAAAATTGAAAGTGAAAGAAGGGCTATGGAAACGCAGTTAATAGGAAACACCATCCTTGAGATCTAAAAATGATATCTAATTTTAGCAATTTTTTGCAGTAAACTAATAAAATCAATCAAAAATCATTTTTAAGGGTTTTACTATATGAATTTTCGAGAGTACAAAAAAATTTTTTTAAATTTTATCACACAAAATAGCGGCACTATATCAGCAGCATAGAGCCTCCTTTTTTGGCAAGTGCATATGCAGTATACACAGAATTTTCTACACCTTTTGATGTGCAACAAAAATCCAAAAATTTTTATTATCTACATACTGAAAGCTAGAGAAGTACGTAGGATTATTTCAAAATATTTTATTTTTGTAAAAATGATAAATGTTTAAAAAAAGTAACATTTTTAACCAAAAAATTTGATCTTTTAATGGAATAATTCGGAATTGTGTCTTTAGTCTGCAATGTCTGCGCCATACACTTTACAAGTAGTAACATTCATTTACCAAAACCTATTTCTTTGAAAATTTGGAGTTTCCTTTTATCTGCTCTGCTGCGCGATGTCTGCCGCTTGGAGCAGACTCAGCGAGGTGAGGAGATGCAAAATATTGCATCTAATGGGATTATACATCAGTTGAGATACCGATTTAAAATATTAAAATATTAAAATATTATTCTTAACAATATGAACTATATAACTTTAAGTAAAACAAAATTTCGATTTTTTTTAAACCTCAAGGGTGATGTTCGCCCTTAACAGCCCGAAAAAAAAAATTCATATATGTGGTATAGTATATTGATTGTTTCCTCTTAAGAATACATTATACCTAATATACGTACAATATGATCAGAGGTGTATCTACGGAAAATAGCTCCTATGGCAAGCACTATAATTGTGCCTCTATCCAAATATTTGAAATCCATGTTTTTTACATAATATTAGCTCAAAAAGTCAAGTATTATTTATTTTTTATTTATTTGCATTACATTTCATTTACTTACATTATGATTATTTACATCATGACTAAAAATTATAACTGCACCTTCCTTGCTTTCACTGTTGCAAATTGATCTATGATCTGTTCAAAATTATTTTTTTCATATAAAAGTTTATCGTTACTAAGAAAAAAAGAAGTATGAAAAGGTGAAAAGGAAATATATTTTTACGAGAAAATTTGCACACAAAGATTTGCACAGAAAAAGATTTATTTAAAACAAAATAATGGAATTAAATAATTATTAAGCCTTGACCTGTCTTTCACATTGCAAAAAATAAACTTGGCTCTTATCAATTAAATTGTCATAAAGATTTCATGTTTATAATTTATAATTTCTGCGACATTAACATTTTGAAATAAACATTTTTATTGAAAATATTTCAAATTATGTAGAGTGTAATTATAATTATCTTTTAATGAATAAAGAAATTATATAAATAAAATATTTGACAATTTATTATTTTAACGAAGAAAACGGTATTTTTGACAAAAATTTAGATATAAAATTCTGTTGTCGGATTGATATTTTGATTCAGTGATGTATACTATATTTGAGAAAATACATTGGATCGTACTAAGTTAATAAAAACTACTTTGCTCCCCTTCAAATGGCGCCGAAGACACATACTATGCCTGCCATACCTTAGATACGCTTCTGAATATGATACAATATAATACAATTATTCGTGATTACACTTTAAATTATATGCACCTATCCCAAACGCATATGCCGTCGCATATATAACACAAAGTTATCTAACCTAACCTACGCTAATGAACTTTCGCTTCTGTTTACAATTTCTTCGCTTGCCTCTTCACTCCACCTCCCCTCCCCCCTCTCTCTCACATCCTCTCTCTCCCGTTCCACCTTTCCGTCGTTCAGCCTATCCCCACCCCTCCTCCCTCTTTCTCTCTCCCTCTCTAATTCCCTCATCTATCCCTATCCCTCTCCCTCCTCACCCAACACTCTATCAACCACTTCTTGCCAGTTTTTTTCTTCGCCTTCCTCCCATACTCTACATCTCTCTCACACATGCTCCCATGATTCCATCTCGTAACCACACATCCTACATTTCCTTTCTTTTTCCCCTTCTCAATACCTCCCCTCTCTCATCTCAATCCCCAACCTGAACCTGGCTATTCTCCTCCATCTGCTTTCCCCCTACCCCTTTTTCAAATATGCTCTATCAATTCCCTTTATCCTCTCCCCCACAATTCCTCAACTCCCCCCATATTTCCAAACTTCTTTCGGGATGCCCTCCACTCGCCTTCTCATTTTTGAGATTTTCCATAACTTTCTCCAAAATGTTTTTATATATATATATATAAATGTTTTTATATATAATTATAAAAAATTATATAATAATATATATAATTTTATATAATTGTATATACATGGATATATTTTATATATAATTGTATGTGATCCCACATAACACGTAATATCACAGTAATATCACAGCAATATCATTGTTTCATTGCAATATTAGAGGAAGATCACCGATACCGACATAGCATTTTGTTTTTAGACAATATTTCTTAAACAAAAGGTAAAAATACAACTTCAAAAACAAGTGGACTCCAAAACTGACATAGTAGGCAATATAATATATATATAATGCCGACATTCCTATTCTATAAATAAAGATATATCCTATTCTGTAAAAAAAACTAATTTATGAAATTATAAACATTTAAAATGACATAATATTATCAATAATACAGTCACTATTATTTTAATTACGCAATTTGCAAAAGAACACCGTAAGAATTTTCTTTCTCGGATTCATAGAATTTGTTTTTAGCTGATTTGGTATAGAAATAAGCCACAAATATATGAATTATGAGTTAAGTGTACTTCTTTAATTAGCTAAACAGATCACGTTTTTATTAGTATTAATAAGGTGCAAAGTTTCTAAGAAATAAGGGGATGTCGCTTTAAGAGACCTATGTCAGTATCGGTAACCTTCCTCTACTATTGAATCTAGCAGAAATATCGTTATATTACTGATCTCGCAATATTACTGAAATGTTTTAGTAATATTACAATATCCGCGAAAATGACTCACAGGAATATTACTGAGATATATCACAGAAATATTACTGTAATATTATGTAATATTTCTGTGATTTTATGTGCAATGTTTATATTTATGTAACATTTACTGGGAAAAATTAAAACATTTTAAAGAATTCTTAAAAGAATTTATTGAATTGGTATTTTTAATGTTATTTTAAAAATTATTCCTAATATTAATTAGAAAATAATACTGATTGTCAATACAAAATAAATATTATATAATATTATAATAAACTGAAAAAGTTATAATAAACTAAATATCACTTATAAAGTTATGTTTGTGTATGTATAATTTTGTGATATTATAATAACATTTTAAAGACGTCTTTAAAACTAATTCTAAGAATTAACCAAACACATTCAAATATAATAAAAATATTCGACTGTAATTAATCAATTCTTACAACTACAATTCTTACACTTACAATTACGCTTACGCAATTGTAGAATGAGCTTTACATCAATAAAACATCGTAAAAGGTTTATTAATTATAATAACACTCTGTTACTGAAATCATATTGCCATAATATTACTGTGATGTTTCAATGTTGATTATCAACGTGTAATACTTTTGTGATATTATATTGTTACATGTAATATTTCTGATATGTTGCAATATTATTGTATATACTGCGGTATTATTGTGACATTACATGCTATGTGGGATTATATATATTTATATACAATTATATATAAAATTACGTATAATTATACATATAATTATACAATTATGTATAACATTATATATGTGTCTAATTTAAAACTGATAAAATATAAACATATAAACAATAAGTGTATGTATTAAAGGGCATGTAAGATTCGAAGGGCATTTCACTCTCGAGTCAAATGTAGTTATATAAACATTAATAAACGATTGCAATTGATTTCAAGCGATTTCAAACGTTATATTTTACATTATTTTCGCTATTTTGATAAGAATGCATTCGCTTGTTTGTATAAAA